TGACTATTTTGGGCTGAAATGTGTCCATCCCCCACCCTCCTGCCAATTCATATGTTGACTCCTTAACCCTCAAGATTTCAACTTTGACTTTATTTGGTTAGGGCCTTTAAAGAAGTGTTGATGTTAAAAATGAGGTCATTAGGGTGGGTCCTAGTCTAATCTGATTGGAGTCAGAAGAAGAAGAAATAGACAGAGATCCTTGAGATGCGTAGGTACAGAGGAAAGGCCATGTGAGCACACAGTGAGGAGGTGGCCATCTGCCAGCCATGGAGAGGCCTCAGGAGAGAATAAACCTGCTGGCACCTTGATCTTGGACTCCCACCCTCCACGACTGTGAGAAAATAAATTTCTGTTGTTTAAGCCCCCCAGTCTGTGGTCCTTTGTTATGGCAGCCCCAGCAGACTGATACAGTGGCCACAGACCAAGGTGGTTAAAGGACTCAGCGAAGTCCATGGTAAAGAGTTAAGAAAGCCTTTTTAAGAATGGATAAATACATGCAAGGAACTTACCACCTTTACAACACAGCGCTAAGGAAACGTTAAAAAGTCATATACTTGAGGCATTATCGGTGTATCAATATTAGGAATGAAAAAGGGGGCATAACCTCAGGAACTACAGAGAGTAGAAGGATAACATGGGACGATAGCAAATTCCAAAAACAATACGTACGGTAAATCCCAATTCTATTTAAAAGAACAGTAATACCCAAAACCCTATAACCCAATCCCAATATATGTATATAAACACAAAGAAGACAGAATGCAAAGAATATACATCAAAGTGTTAACAATTACTGGGTACTTGGTTTATTTATACTTTTAACATATTTCCTAGTTTTTTTCTCTCAAATTTTCTACCACAAACATGAATTTTTCAATAACCAGAAAGTCTCCAATAAACAAACTGTAAAAATAGACACAGAGAATGTCCCAAAGGAATAAGACTATGAACAGTACTGATATCAGTTCTATCAATGAATTCTCACACATATGTGTGCATATCTGAAACACACACACAAATATAAACTCTCTCTCTACCTGTAGTAAGATCACTTTCAGAATTATCAGTGGATCGTCAATCTCTTCTTCATTCTGGAGATCTTTTAAATTCACATCTGGTTTGCTTTTTTCCTCCTAGAAAGGAAAACAATAAAAATTTATCCCTTAAAAGGTAATTAACAAAATAGAAATGTTCATGTTGTGGAAGTTTCAAAATGGAGAAATGACGATAAAAACATCGTTATAACTTATGTATACTTTGGAATTCAGCAAACCTGGCTTTGATTTCCAGCTCTGGCTGACTAATCCCCGATACGTCATTTAACCTCTCTGGCATTCTCTGTGAACGGGACCGTGAGATAACTCCCAGCACAACACACACATGGTAGGTCCCGACAGGTTCCCGGTAGACACCACTTCAGCTGCACCCTACGAATCCTGACATGTTGTGTGTCACTGGCAAGAGCAGCTCAGTGCTCGCTTCTACTTCCTGATCGTCCAAATTTGCACCCCACTCTATGAAGTTATTAGGGAACATGTCAAAATAAGGTATTTTTATTCACTGATTTTTTTTTATACACGCCATCTTGCAAAAGTATTTTCATTTGACTTAAAACCATCAATCAAATAGACCTAATAACAAGAGACAAAAATAATAAAGAGACAGCAAAACAAAATGGTAGACTAAATACTATTCTACTAAAAGACTGCTAAAAATGCTGGATAAGTAAACAACAAAACAAACAAAGGCACTTTTTTTAAAACACACACTGAATTAAGAGAGTATCAGGGAAATCCTCAGAGAACAAGTGAAATGGGAACCCAGGGAGGAAATCCAGAGTTGAGGCCTCCAGCTGTCCCACCTTGCTGACACAGCTTCCACTCTGATGCTCATACAGGATGAGGTATGGGAGACAAAGTCTAAGGATCCCCAAAGTATGGAGTTGAATGATTGGTTTTCCAAACAACCAGTTCTGCGGTCCTCTGACACCATCTGGGTCTCACAATTCAGTTCAGTTTTGATACTAACTTTATTTAGTCCTGCAAGACTGCCCCCACTTCAGATAATAGCCACAAATGGGGTCCCAGGCCACCTGCACTTCTGCCTGGCTGATTACAAATTCTAGGGTTCCTACAATCCCCACTTCAGGTTTGATAATTTCCTGGAATGGCTCACAGAACTCAGGACCTTATACACAGGACTATAGTTTAGTACAAAAGATACAAATGAACAGCCAGATGAAGAGGTACATAGGGTGAGGTCAGGAAGGGCCCTGAGAGTAGGAGCTTCTGTCCCCATGGAGTCAGGGTGGCCACCCTCCCTGCATGTGGATGTGTTCACCAACCAGAAGCTCCCTTAGCCTCCTGGTTTGAATTGTTTTTTTTAAGATTTTATTTATTTATTTGAGAGAGAGTGCGCGAACTCGCGCACGAGCAGGGATAGAGGGAGAGGTTCTGAGAAGCAGACGCCCTGCTGAGCAGGGTGCCTGACATGGGACTCAATCCCAGGATCCTGAGATCATGACCTGAGCTGAAGGCAGACGCTTAACTAACTGAGCCACTCAGGCGTACCTTGCTTCAGAGTTTTAATGGAAGTTTCAACATGCAGGCATGACTGACTGACTGAACTCAATCACCAGCTCCTCTTCCCTCCACGGGTCAGGAGCTGGGGCTAAAAACACCAATGCTCTATTCATATGGTTGTTTCCTCTAGTGACTAGCCCTCACTCTGAAGATATCTAGGCCCCACCAAGAGTCATCCCATTAGCATGAACTCAGGTGTGGTTGAAAGGGGTTCATTATGAACAACAAAAGACATGCCTATCACTCATGCAATTTCAAGGACTTCTATTCCAAGAACCAAGTATATACTTTTTTCTTTCTTTCTTTCTTTTTTTTTTAAAGATTTACTTATTTGAGAGAGAGAGAGAGACTGAAAGAGTACACAGGAGCTGGGTTCAGAGGGGCAGAGCCCGACACGGGGCTCAGTCTCATGACCCACGACATCATGACCTGAGCTGAAATCATGAGTCGGACACATAAACAACTTAGCCACCCCAAGCGCCCCAAGTATATACTTTTTAAAAATTATACCACAGGGGCGCCTGGGTGGCTCAGTCGGTTAAGCGACTGCCTTCGGCTCAGGTCGTGATCCTGGAGTCCGGGGATCGAGTCCCGCATTGGGCTCCCTGCTCAGCGGGGAGTCTGCTTCTCCCTCTGACCCTCCTCCCTCTCGTGCTCTGTCTCTCATTCTCTCTCGCAAATAAATAAATAAAATCTTTAAAAAAAAAATAAATAAAATAAAAATTATACCACAAAGATAAATTTCAGAGAAAGAGGTACCTCCCTTTCTCTCTCGCAAATAAATAAATAAAATCTTTAAAAAAAAAATAAATAAAATAAAAATTATACCACAAAGATAAATTTCAGCAGGCAGCTAGAAAGAAAGAGGTACCTACCTTCTCAGTACAAACCCGACCTAGAAAAAATCCACCCCACAACAAAGGACAATGAGGAACTGGCTTGCTTTGACCTCGATACTGGATAAAGGTAGAAAAACATTTTTTTTTTTTTTAAAGATTTTATTTATTTATATGACAGAGAGAGACAGCGAGAACAGGAACACAAGCAGGGGGAGTGGGAGAGGGAGAAGCAGGCTTCCCGCTGAGCAGGGAGAGCCCGATGTGGGACTCGATCCCAGGACCCTGGGACCACGACCTGAGCTGAAGGCAGACGCTTAACGACTGAGCCACCCAGGCGCCCTAGAAAAACATTTCTAATACTTTGTCATCACAAGTAGGTCCCCATGTGGGTTCCTGGTCCAAATTTACATTAGCTGCACGGCTCTAAAACCAGTAAGTCAAGACCTGATTTTAAAGTAGGGTTGGAAGTGACCCCAGGCACGTGATAGAGGTAAACACTTTTTTCAGAGGAAGGCACTTTCAACTCAGTCCTCAAGTTACTCCAGTAAATCACATTCTTAAAAAACCAACCAAACAAGGCTATAGTCTAAAATAACAAGATCATAAGGAAGTAGGATCAGCAGATATCCAGGGGCGCCTGGGTGGCTCAGATGGTTAAGCATCTGCCTTCGGCTCAGGTCATGATCCCAGGGTCCTGGGATCGAACCCTGCATCGGGCTCCCTGCTCAGCGGGAAGCCTGCTTCTCTCTCTCTTCCTCTGCCTCTCTCCCTGCTCATGCTCTCTTTCTCTGTGTCTCAGAGGAATAAATAAAATCTTAAAAAAAAGAATCAGCAGATATCCAAATCAGACCTACAAAGCCTTCAGATACTGCAATTATCAGACCAATAAAATAGCACGTTTAATATGTTTAAGATGTGATTAAGGAAAGAGATTTAAAAATGGCAGAAGGGGAGAGACAGGCCAGCACTGCCCCCTATCTGACCAGCACAGGTGACAAACAGGCCCAGTCCTCCTCCACTTCGCCAGTGTCCAACCCTGGCCTTGCTGGGACAGTAGGAACTGCTTCGGGGCTGCCTACTGGGAGCTGTTGTGAAGCCTTCTCTGACCCACTTCCTCAAATGTGTAAGAAAATGTCACTCAACCATCAATGAAGCAAAAGGTCTCTAAAGAAGCAGAAAGCAAAGATCAGGCTCCTTTTCACAGCCAGATCTAGAGTCACATTTTGAATAGTTAATGGCCTCCCTACTAGAAGAAAGGGATCATCTTCTAGACAAAAAGAGACAGAAATGTTGCCTTTATTATTTTTATTGTCTTTTAAAATAAATTTTACCCCCAACACGGGGCTCAAACTTACGACCTGAGATCGAGAGTCGCACATTCGATCAACTGAGCCAGCCAGGAGCCTCTGAAATGTTGCCTTAAAAGCAGGGAAAATTATGTCCGATTGGTCATGTAAGTTATTTCTTTGCAGACAGTGCCTACTAAAGAACTCCATGAATGCAGGCAACAGCTCCTTGAAAGGGAAGAAGAAATTGCCAAACTATAAGAAGAAAGAACAATACCAGGCTATGATTAGAACATATGGAATCCTATGTCTCTGGGCACAAGAAATCTCAGAATAATGGTAATAAAAAGACAGGCAGGGTCCAGCAGGTATATGTACTGAAGTTGAAATTCTTAAAGCACTACTCGTTATTTGAACACCATAGAGCTCTGGATGAAAAAGTAGTGATTCTGGAAGAACAGAATAAGGAAAAAATTTAACAAACGGGATGCTTCACAGAAGGCATGAATAAGGAGAAATACTAAGCACAAATGGAAAGCGATCTTCCGATTGTTCTTCAAGCCTGGAAGAAGACCTTGCTAATGTAACAAAGCTTCAGGAACAGAGAAGCAGTGCGGAGAGCAAAACCAAACGACAGAGTGCCTGTGTGCCCTCTCGAGTCACACAGCAGACCCAGGAGAAGAGCCCGACGATGACAGAAAAGAGCGAAGCGATTCTGAGGAAGTGAACATGTAAGCGTGGAGCTGTCCAAGGAAGCACAACCCAGAACGAAGACACGGAAGAGAGAATCACCGTTCGAGACACGTGACCTCACCGCTGTACGAGGCTATCTCTGTGTGTGACCTCAATGATGAACTGGAAAATGAAACTGCAAGTAAGTATTTGATGGGTCAAAGACTGACGCTAAACCTCAGCACCTCTAAAAGTGCCGGCAATCAGACGTGGCTGAACAAAAGCTGGAGTGGCGCTGAGGAGAGCGGAGGCACACGCCCTGAGCTGGAAGCTGAACCAGGGCGGAAAGTGGGAGCCCTTTCTCAGACTGAAGAGACAGGGCAACACTGGAAAAAAAGGTTACACAGATGAAGGCATAACTGGAAAAAAGAAACCAAGACTACAGTGGGCAAGGGGAAGAAATGAACCACATAATAAATATTTATTAGACCTGTTCACAAGCTTATATCGGCATCTGAGAAAAACCTTCAACATCATTTTTTAGGGAAAGTGAAATGAAGCTCAAATAACTGTCTGAGAAGGGGGGGGAGAAGGCTGCTCTACAGAACCCGAACTCTCTACTACAGGACCCTGGAAATAAGAAAGCAGCGAAGACAGGCAGCATGATAGGAATCAGCTCCAACTAAGCACAGAAACCTTGAGGGCCAAATGAGACCAGATGAGGGTAGGAGACCTTCCCCTGGTCTGAATGGGAATGTGTCCCACAAACCAGCGTCTTGGCAAACGTGGCACAAGCATTTGGGAGTGATGCATGTACGGCGTTCTCGGCCGAACGAAATGGAAGGTAAAGGACTGGGAAGGGTGAAACAAAACAGTCTTTCTCCAAAGATGTCTGCAGCGTAAGAAGGTTTAGCAAGATGGCTGATTTGTAAAATCAATAAACGAACGGTAACTGCATTTCATACACCAGCCACAAATAGTCCAAAAAATATAAAGTTGAGACATAGCTCCACAGAATGTCTCCCTGGTAAATACCAAACAAAAAGTTTGACTTTTTAAATATCCATATACTTTTTAATACCAAAGTACAACGGACGGAGCACGAGAAATGCAGACGGATGTTCTGAAAAGCAAACAATGCCAACGAAGAGAACATGCATCTAGAACACTCTTGTCACCCAGAGAAGCTGTATTACTATATGTGGTGCAACGACTGTTAACAAGAGCACCTGATAGTCGGGAAGACGTCATAAGCATTCTACATCCTCCCACCATGGTTTGTAACTTACAGACGGAAATTTCACTGTGTTTTAGGTACGTGTTAGACAACTGGTTGAGAGTTTGGGGTTGGTGTGTAACACACTTTGATTCTTCCCATTGCAAATAATTGGAACTAGACATCCAGGTAGCGCTTTTCCTCAGAACATCTGCAAATTCTTAAGAAAATTATAAAGCTTTTTCAATAAGAAGCTCTAAAATATGAAAAGATTTATCTGACTTATAGATGTAGGTTCAAAATTCTACTTCTGAGAATGGGTGTTGTGTGTGTGTGAACACTGACAAGCTGATTCTAGAAACGGTCACAGAAGAATAAAAGGCCAAGACATTCCTGAAGAGTAACACCACATAGGGATACTTGCCCTACCAGATATCATGACTGCTATAATGCTACAGAAATTAACAATGTTGGGGCGGGTGCCTGGGTGGCTCAGTTGGTTAAGCGACTGCCTTCGGCTCAGGTCATGATCCTGGAGTCCCGGGATCGAGTCCCGCATCCGGCTCCCTGCTCAGCAGGGGGTGTGCTTCTCCCTCTGCCCTCTTTCCTCTTGTGCTCTCTGTCTCTCATTCTCTCTCTCTCAAATAAATAAATAAAATCTTTAAAAAAAAAACCAAAAACAAAAAACAAAAAAAAACCAATGTCGGGGTGTCTGGGTGGCTCGGTCGTTAAGCGTCTGCCTTCGGCTCAGGTCATGATCCCAGGATCCTGGGATCGAGCCCCGCATCGGGCTCCCTGCTCCACGGGAAGCCTGCTTCTCCCTCTCCCACTCCCCCTGCTTGTGTTCCTGCTCTCGCTGTGTCTCTCTCTGTCAAATAAATAAATAAAAAATCTTAAAAAAAACAAAAAACAAAAAACAATGTGGTATTGGCCTAGGAATAGAAAAAAGGAACAATGAAACAGAATAGAGGGGCCCCAAAGGACTCATACATAAATAAACAATTGATATAACAGAACTGGCACTGTGGATTGGTGGGGAAAGAATGGATTATTCAATAAATGGTAATGGGCAACCGGGTTAAAAAAAAAAAAGAAATCACACCCCATTCATAGGAAACCATTCCAGAAAGACTGAGAAGTTTAAAATGTAAAAGGCAAAACTATAAAACTTTTAGAAGACAGTATAGGAGGAAAATCTTCATCATCTTTGGCTGGTGCCACGAAGGACAAAGAGAAGCCGAGGAACAGTTATTGATTACAGGAGATCTAAGAGATATGCTAACTAAATATAATGCAGGACCCTGCACTTGGCACTAGAGTGGGGAAGAAAATGTTGTAAAGGATCTGATGAGACAACTGGTGGAGTCGGAGTATAAACTCTTTATTAGAGAGTAGTATCGTTTCAATGCAGGAGTTTCCGATTTTGATCTACGCTTACGTAAGGGAACACCCTTATTCTCAGGAGATAAACACGGAAGTATTTAGGGGTAGAGGGACCTGATATCTTCAGCTTAATTTCAGATGGTTCAGTACTCATAAGATAATATTAACTGTGTGTGTGTGTGTTTGCACAAACTTGGCAAATCGTTAACAACTGAAGGATGCAGGTGAAGAGTATCCATAGAAGGTGTTCCTACGCTGCCGGTTATTTTTCTGTAAGTATGAAACTATTTAGAAATAAAAACTTAAAACTTCTAACTGTATCGACTTTCCATGCCTATAAAAATTTCTGAGGGTAAATACACATAACTATGGCAAAAGATGATCCTCACCAAAGTAAGACCAGAACTAATTTCTATGCTTACCTGGGATTGCCAGTTTCCCAGATGATCAACATCTTTAACATACACGTGGTAATGTCCTCCATAGCAACCACCTTTATGTACAATAACTGAGAAAAGGTCATAGACATACTCCAAGTCGTCTGAGTTGCTCTGTGAAAAAAAGAGCATAGACAGTGAGAGTTTATGTAAAATGGGAAGATACATGACCAAAGAGAAGGAAGAATTTCAACTATGAAAATAAGAAACCTGTTTATTATCGTTATTTAGGGGTAAATTAAGATAAATTTGAGTAACTGGCTTTAAATTTAAAAATTTTCAATTCTTAGATTGAAAACTATCATTCGTCTAATACCAATCACACAACAACCAAGCAAATTCTGCCTCTTAAATATGAAAACACACAAAATGTTATTTTTATGTAGTTTGGCTAAGATCGTGTACACCAAAGGGCTAATAAAACACACTCCCCAATGCATCTGCGATAGTTTTAGCAAGAGAAAACCATCTTTGTATTATACCTACTATGCTGCTTTAGAAACGTGTTCTTTAGCTGTTGAATTTGTCCCATACTCCAACATGGGCCTCAGAGTCAGAGTCACATCCACTCTCACCCCCCTGACACTGCACTCCGCAGCACAGGAATTAAGCAATTGTGAATACTAGCTGTTTGTTTAGAGGCAGTTTAGTGGGATGAACAGGTTCTTTCTTCTATGATCAATCTTTTCTATAATTAACGTGCTCTGTAATTATGACTGACCCAACTGATGAACACTTATACCGGCATTAAAAAAAAAATCTACTTTAGGTTAAGAGATACTTTGCATGTGAACATGCTACTTGAAGGGTGTCAATTATCGAAGAAACTTATTTCCCTGAAACATTGTACTTTTATTTTTTTGTACTTTTAAAGTAAGTAGTATTTTTAAAATGTCTGGTTCAGGCAAAAGAGAGATGAACAAAGATGCAAAGTGACAATTTTTTTCATGAATACAGAAATCAAAAAGTAAAATTATGGTCAATTTCTTAGCTAGTGCGCAATGGTTCACCTATTTCAATTTTGTAATTTCAAAGTATGTTAAGATAATGTGACAAACTACTTCTTTTTATTTTTTTTAAAGATTTTATTTATTTATTTGACAGAGAGAGAGACAGCGAGAGAGGGAACACAAGCAGGGGGAGTGGGAGAGGGAGGAGCAGGCTTTCCGCGGAGCAGGGAGCCCCATGCGGGGCTCGATCCCAGGACCCCGGGATCATGACCTGAGCTGAAGGCAGACGCTTAACGACTGAGCCACCCAGGTGCCCCAAAACTAATTTTTTTTTAAAAAAGCTAAAATTTTTCCATACGAGATGATACATGTTAACTAAATCTAGTGTGGTCATTTTGCAATATATGTAAATCAAACCATCATCCCGTACATCTTAAATGTACAGTGATGTCTGTCAATTATTTCTCAACAAAACTGGAAAATTATAAAAGAATTAACTCAGTTATCCTGAAAAAAAATTATTGTTGCTGTTGTTTTTAAGTAGGCTTCACGCCCAGCATGGAGCCCAATGCAAGGGCTCACAACCCTGAGATCAAGACCTGAGCTGAGATCAAGAGTTGGATGCTTAATCGACTGAGCCACCCAGGCGCCCCCAAAAACTGTTTTATTCAGGCAGTAAATGGGGGAGGGTATATTAACTTACTCTGGAAAAACTGCTCATTCTTTATATGTCAATCAAACAAAACCCAAAAAGCTCAGCTATCAGGCTTGAAGGAGAAGGCGGCCCATCCGAACGGAAGAATAAAGAAAATATAATTTTTATACAAAGAAACTCAATAGCTACTTAATAAATGTTCTTTCTGGTCTTGATAAACATACAAATAACGATTTGTAGTAAGAAATGCAGGAGTCTCGGGGCGCCTGGGTGGCTCAGATGGTTAAGCGTCTGCCTTCGGCTCAGGTCATGATCCCAGGGTCCTGGGATCGA